GAGAGGGAGTCACAGACCGAAAGAGGCTCCAGGCTCTGAGCTGGCAGTCAGCACAGAGCCCGACGTGGGGCTCGAACCCACGAACCACGAGATCATGACCTAAGCGAAAGTCGGACGCTTAACCGACTAAGCCACCCAGGTGCCCCCTGATACCAACTTTTTGAAGAGTCGAGGCAAGTTGTTTTGTAGAAGGTCTCACATTTTTATTTTTGTCTTACAATGTTGTTTAACTTGTTACTTTGTCTCTTGGAATTTTCTATAAACTGAAAATTAGGTCTAGAAGGGCTTGCTTAGATTCAGAGTAAATATTCTGCTAAGAATTTCTTATAGGGAATGTTCTGAATATTGTATTGTGTCACATCCAGAGACAGTGTAAGGATAACCCACTATGTTTGTAAAGCCACATTTGATTTCCTCGCTTGGGTTTTAACTGCTAGGTTGCTCTTTGGGAAAGATTCATCTTTCCTCTTGTAATTGGTTAAAAAAAAAATCTCTAGTATAATATTTTGGAAATGTGTCACCTGTCAACATTTTACCCAATGGGTCAGCATCCACTGATGAGTCTTTCTATTGTTAGTATTATTTCCTGCCCAGTTATTAACATACTCATTTTAAAAATTATTAGTTGTATACTATATTTTAATTGAGAATATTTTTAAGACTATCGCAGTACCTGGCTGGCTTAGTCAGTAGAGTATGAGACTGTTATCTCAGGGTTGTGAGTTTGAGCCCCACTCTGGGCATAGAGATTACTTAAAAATAAAATCTTTTTAAAAAAGGCTATCAATCAAAAGTCCTCCACCTTATTCTATTCTCATTGTTAAGTTTCTCACATTTGTTTCCTTGAAACTTAAGTCCTTTGAGAATGTAAAGTCACTGAATTGTAAGAGAAGATTAAATAAATTCTCTAATAGAATAGGAATATATTTAGAGGTTTCAATGAGGGATTTTTCTGATGGGAAAAGGAGAAATTGGTGATAGTGGCACTGGGCAGTGAGACTGAGTAGGAATTTGAGTAGGCACATAGTGGTATGTTGGACCCAGAATATAGTGGCTTGCAAGAGCTGATTGTTAAATTTTTCAGAATTTTGTGAACTGGTTGTTATGCACAGCCATTATTTAAAAAGTGTATAAATTTACCATAAGTTATATTAAAAATATGTAACAGGGGCATGTGGGTGGCTTGATGAATAAAGCATGCAACTCTGGATCTCATGGTCATCAGTCCAAGTCCCACTTTGGGAGTACTGATTACTTTAAAAAAAGTAACAAACATTCAAAACTCTTAATTATTTTTATTACACTTTACCATTATCTATGCCCTTGAGGTTATTTATGTCTATTGTATCTGCATATGATACATGATAATGAGCTATGTACATTTCTTTCCAATTTCATGTTCAGTAACATTATGTTAATAGTTTAAAATAGGTCATGGTGGCAGCATTTACAACATGGAAACATCAGCAAGCATAACAAATCAAGGGTATTTATTATTTCGTAGATTGTCTAGACTTAAAAGTTATGGTGAGAATGGGGTACCTATGTGGCTTAGTAAGTTAAGCATCTGAATCTTGCTTTCGGCTCAGGTCATGATCTCATGGTTCATGTGAGCAGGTTCCCAAGTTGGGCTCTGAGCTGACAGTGCATGGAGCCTGGTTGGGATTCTCTCTCTTCCTCTCTCCCTGCCCCTCCCCCATGCATATGTGTGTTCTCTCTCTCTGTCTCTCTCTGAATCAAAATAAATAAGTAGGGGCGCCTGGGTGGCTTAGTCGGTTAAGCGTCCGACTTTTGCTTGGGTCATGATCTCGCGGTTCGTGGGTTCGAGCCCCGCGTCGGGCTCTGTGCTGACTGCCAGCTCAGAGCCTGGAGCCTGTTTCAGAGTCTGTGACTCCCTCTCTCTCTGACCCTCCCCTGCTCATGCTGTCTCTCTCTCTCCCAGAAATAAATAAAACATTAAAAAAAATTAAAAAAAAATAAATAAGTAAACTTTAAAAAAAGTTATGGAGAGCATGTTGATACAGATGAAACTCAAAAGTGTGTTATGTTATAGCTGTTAACATTGTAAACAGTAAAAATTGAGTAAATATTCTTCCAGTATTCAAAAACTTATTCAATTCAGCAAAGAAGTTTATCACATCATTGTTGAAAGAGTGAAGTTTCAATATGTGTTAGTTGTTTCACTTTCATTTTATTCCTTAACAAAAATCTCAAGCAACACTCACAGAATTATGTTGATTTTTCAATAGCAGCAACATGTGGCTCTGGATACAAAAGTTCAGAAAAATCAACAAAAGTGTTTTGTGAGAATCAATGGGTTATATGCAATTTAAATAGAGAACATTTTGGAGGTTAATATTTTTGTAGTAAGAGCATTCTTTCTTTTTTTTTTTAAGTAGGCTTCATGCTCAATGTGAGGGTTGAACTCATGACCCCAAGCCCTAAGACTGAGATTCATATACTCTACCCCATGAGCCAGCCAGGAGCCCCTTAAGAGGAGTGTTTTTTAAAAATTTTTTAATGTTTATTTATTTTTGAGAGTGGGGGAGGCAGAAAAAGAGGAAGACACAGAATCTGTAGCAGGCTCCAGGCTCTGAGCTGTCAGCACATAGCCTAATGTGGGGCTCGAACTCACGAACTGGTGAGATCATGACCTGAGCCGAACTTGGATGCTTAACCAATTGAGCCACCCAGGAGCCCCATAAGAGGAGTTTTTAAATCAATTATATATATACACACTCACACACACACATATATACATATATAATGTTTAATAATATATATGTTTAATTATATATATAATATATGTATTATATATAATGTTTGTTTAAGGGAGAGGGAGAGAGAGAAAGGGATGGACGCTCTACCAAATGAGCCACCCAGGTGCCCCCAAACATATATATTGCTATGGTCTGAATTGTGTCCTTCTAAAATTCATGTGTTGAATACCTAACCCCCAATATGACTAGATTTAGAGATAACATCTTTAGTAGGTAATTAAGTGTAAATGAGGTATAAGGGTGTGGCCCTACCAATAAAACTGGGTGGCCTTCTTAAAAAGGGAAGTGAAATAAAGTCAGTCAGAGAAAAACAGATATCATATGATTTCAATCTTATGTGGAATTTGAGAAACTTGACAGATGATCATAGGGGAAGGGAAGGAAAAGTAAGATAAAAACCGAGAGGAAGGCAAACCATAGAGACTCTTAAATATAGAGAACAAACTGAGGGTTGATGGGGTGGGAGATGGGCTAAAATGCGCGATGGGTATTAAGGGGGCACTTGTTGGAAGGAGCACTGGGTGTTATACGTAAGTGATGAATCACTGGGTTCTACTGAAGCCACCATTACACTGTATGTTAACTAACTTGAGAATTAAATAAATGAAGACATAACTAAAGGAAAGCAAGATCTCTCTCCCTTCCCTCTCCTTACCAGGGAAAGGCCATGTGAGCACACAATGAAATGGCAGCCACTTACAAGTCAAGAGAAGAGGCCTCAGAATGAAACCTTCCTGCCAGCACCTTGGTCTTGGACCTTCCAGCCTCCAGAACTGTGAAAAATAAATTTCTTTTGTTTAAGCCACCCAGCCTACAGTCTTTTCTTATGGCAGCCCAAGCTTAGACACACACACACACACACACACACACACACACACACTCCTGATAGGTACCCAAATATCTGTAAGTACTGTTAAGGAATGATAAGTGCTATAAAAATATGGAGTAAATGATATGTGAAGAGTGCAGGGGAGGTGGCACTTTAGATAACCCGGGCTATAGATCAGGAGGACCTGACTCAGGCAGTGACCTTAGAAAAACAGAAGTTAAAGAGGGGCCTGGACGGCTCAGTCAGTTAAGCATCCTACTCTTGGTTTTGGCTCCTATCACAGTGCCATGGCTTCAAGGATTCGAGCCCCACATTGGGCTCTGTGCTGGCAGTGAAGAGCCTGCTTGCGATTCTCTCTCTCTCCCGCTCTCTTGTGCCCCTTCCCCACTCGCACTGTCTCTGTCTCTCTCAAAATAAATAAACTTAAAAAGAAAAGAAAGAAAACCAGAAGTTTGCATGGCTTCAAGGGGCACCATTTGACTTGTCAGCTAACTGCCTAGCACCTGGACTGCCCTTGGATATTGGATATTCCTCCTCTAAGTATGTAAAACATCCCAATTAATCCCCTGAGTTTTAGCTTGCTGCTGTGATCATCCTCTATCTTACTGCCAGAGAGATGGCTCTAAATCTCATGAGGTCACTACTTTGCTTAAATTGTACCATAATTCCCTGGATTTCAGTGTTAAGTTCAGATCCTCTCCTTAGCACAACTGCCTTCCCCTCTATCCTAAATCTTTTACAATCCACCTCTCCCAGTCCCACCCCTCCCCCAACACACACCCTTCATTCTGGTCAAACTGAACTAGTTCCTTGACTCTGTCCTGTTGCTTCATGAACTTTCCGTTGCTCTATCTAGAATTCCCTCCCTGTTTAGCCAACTTCTTCTCCTTCAAAATTTACGGCCAGAATTACCTTTTCCAGGAAGCCTTCCCAGATCCTTTCTGATTTAGGTACCCTCCACTGCAGCCTCTGCTTATATTACACAAGCACTGTGCTGTGATTTTGGTTTGTCTTTCCCGCACTCTGCGTCATATTCATTTTTTTATCCTCCATGCCAAGTATGGGGCCCGTCACATAGCAGGCATCGTTAAGCACGTGTTGAAAATTAATTGTATAAGTAGCACCACAGGGCTTAGTGAGCCTGTGGAGGAAAACGGTCAAGAAGGCATCTCTAAGGCTTCTACATAAAGGAGCAGAGAGACTTTGCAGTTTGGACATGGGCAGAGAGGACCATCTGGGAGCTGGAGAAGAGGGAAAAGTTGCTTCGCCACCCTCGCTTCGTGGCTTCCACAGCCTTAGTACAGGACTGGTGAAACTGAAATGAGAAAAACTACATTTCCCGTCATGCTTCACGGCACCAGACTCGGTTTCACCTCTTTGTCACCGCCTCTTCCCCACGGAAGTAAAAGGAGCACTTCCAGGTTCGGCAAGAACCTGGAGCAGGGGGCGTTAGGTCTGAGCTGTTGGGTCTTACTCCGAAGCTCCGCCTTCTCTCCGCTTTTTCTAGAAACCCGGCTTTGCTTTTGGCAGTGTCGTACAGGTAGTTCCCGGCCACTGTGGGTGCTCCCAACGCAATTCGCTGCACAGGAGCGGCCGAAACTTTTCTTCTGTTGAGGTTCGGAGTCCTCTTAGGGCGCGGCGGGCTCGTTGCACGGTGAAGGGACACCGGTTACCGGAGTCGTGTGCTCACATCCTTTTTCTTCCCTTACCGATTGCAGCGTCCGAGACGCGTGCGTGGATCTCCCCATGGCAGAAACGGCCCCGAACGGCCCCCAAGGGGCGGGCGCAGTGGTGAGTGAGAGAGCGGGGTCTTCTGGCTTGGTTTATAAGTTAGAACGGAGCAGGAAGTGTTACTCAGTTCCGCGGTGTTTCGGCTCATTGTAAAGGGCCTGGGAATAGTGAGTGAGGGGGAGGGGGTGGCAGCGTAGAGAGAAGAGATCTTCAGCGAAGATACAGAGGAGGAAGCTGTACGTTTTCTGCTTGGAAGCGACAGTGGGCTGGCCTGGAGCAGGTGGCCCTCACCTGTATGCCAAGGAAATTGGGCCTTCTTGCCTCTTCCTACCTCTCGGTCTCTAATTGTGCCGGGTTCCAAGGTTGAAGATGCCACCTGAGGTGGTGCCGTGACACAGGCCTCATTCCGCACAGGCGTACTAGCAGAGACCGTCTCTGGCTGCTTTATGCCATTATATGGAAATTACGCCGTGAGGGGGGTAGCGGTCCTTTTTTTTTTTTTTTTTTTTTTTAAGTCTCTCTTCGTCTTCTTGTCCGTACGTTTTTACGAAGAGAGATATTTGGCTTCTGTAAATATTTTATTCTTAACACGCAGATCTGCTTAATATTTATGTTGCTCTTAATTTTAAACACTATGAATATATGAATTGAGCTTGTCTTCTTTTTCCTTTTTAAACATTTTGCAACATTTCCATTTATATACCCAAGTTTTCGTTTTTCTTGGTTTTGCTGAGCCGTTTAAGAATTAGTTGCATACACAATGATGGCTAATTCATAAATACTTAAGTATCCCTTGACATGACCACAGTGCAGTCATTGCGGCGATATTTGCAGTTAAATTTGAGAAATTTAACATTGATACGTGTTGTTACCTGATTTACAATCCATATTCAAGTTTCCTGAGTTGTGTGTTAAAGCATCTTCCTCCTTATCCAGGATTCAGTCTAAAACCTGCATTGCTTTTACTGGCCTTTCGTCTCTTTTAGTCCAGAATAGTTCCTTTGCCTTCCTCCTGCCATTTTTTACTTTCAAGAGTCCTGACTTGTTCTGCAGAATGCTTTTTCAGTTTGAAATTGTCTCTTTTTTTTCCCCCCTAATGACTAGATTCGAATTGAAAATTTTGGCACGAATGTTACATAAGTTATAGTCTGCCTTTTTCAGTGCATTGTATTTATCAGGAAGCATTTCATGTAGATTAATTCCATCATTGCAGATACGAAGTTTGATTATTTGATTCAAGTGGTATCCACCAGATTCTCCATTGTAAAATACTTTTCTTTTGTAATTAGAAAGTATTCTGTGGCATGTTACTTTGAGACTGAATAGTTTTTTGCCTCAGTAGACTTGTTGACTATTAAGGTGGTTAGATTGTTGACTCTTAAAGTGTAAACGGTTGCCACTTTTTAAAACATTTTTTATTGTATACTAAAATACAGATACATAAAAGTATACAAAATGAAACACATAGACCAATGATTTATTACAGAATAAACAGCCTAAACAGTTTTGTTTTATTTTCTTAAAAGATTTTATTTTTAAGCAGTCTCTGTACTCAACAAAGGGCTTGAACCCACAACCTGGAGATCAAGAGTCGCATGCTCCACTGACTGAGCCAGGTGCCTCTAAACAAATAGATTTTATTTTTTTATTAAAAGAATTTTTTTTAATGTTTGTTTATTTTTGAGAGAGAGAGGGACAGAGCGTGAGCAGGGGAGGGGCAGAGCGAGAGGGAGACACAGAATCCACCAAGCAGGCTCCAGGCTCTGAGCCGTCAGCACAGAGCCCATCGCCAGGCTCAAAACTCATGGACTGTGAGGTCATGATCTGAACTGAAGTCAGACTGACCAACTGAGGTGCCCCTAGATTTTAAAGAACATGTTCTAAAATTAAGTTTCAGACTATGGTGTAAAGTCTGAATATTTGTGGAGAAACGGAGTACAATGAGGTAGATTCATTCTTCCACTTTACTAGTGATCGTTTAAATTTAGAGGAGTCACAATGTAGTAGGTTTGGTTAGAATAAAACAGACACCTATTCTTTATTTCTTTCCATCTCTCTGTCTCTTCCTCCCCCCCCGCCCTTCTTTTATAGGCTCCGCACTCAGCATAGGGCTGGAACTCATGACCCTGAGATCAAAAGTTGTACTCCCTACCAACAGAGCCAGCCAGGTGCCCCAAAACCGGCATTTTTCTGAAATTACCTGTTTATTGTTATAAAAACATGCGATAAACCATCTTTGGATTTTAAAACATACTTGCATTTTTTTCAAAAGCTTTTTATATAGTATTTCAAAAGGTAATTAAGTTAGATTGCTTAGAGTAGTGTTTTTAGACTCCACATTAAGATTTGTAAGTGAATTGTGAAATCAGCTTAGTGGAATCATTAAGTATTTCTTAAACATTAAATAGAATACAAAATGCCAAAATCCATCACATAGAGGAAAGATAAGTATTGTTTTGTGAAACTTCTGTTTGCTTGTATATCCATGTATGTTTGTATCAAACCTTAATGTAAAAATAATTAACATAGATCCTATTAAAAAAATGTAAAAGCCACTTAAGAATTTGAATACAAGATACATTTTGAATGAGAAATCAGATTTTAAGTTATTCTGTTAGTGATAATAGATAACATCTTTGGCAAATGCAGCAAAGGCAAAGAAAGATTGAGGAAATGGGGCGCCTGGGTGGCTTAGTCGGTTAAGCGTCCGACTTTCACTTAGGTCATCATCTCGCGGTTCGTGGGTTCGAGCCCCGCGTTGGGCTCTGTGCTGACTGCCAGCTCAGAGCCTGGAGCCTATTTCGGAGTCTGTGTCTCCCTCTCTCTCTGACCCTCCCCTGCTCACACTGTCTCTCTCTCTCTCTCCTAGAAATAAATAAAAATATTAAAAAAAAAAGATTGAGGAAAAATGGAGAATAAAGTGGTATATGGGAGTTTAATCTAGAGCCACTGAAACTAGGATAACATGTATGGAGGATGAAGAGAGTCATGGAATTGGAGAGGCAGGTGCTATTTAAGGTTGACAGCCACATTTTGGACACTTGGGGTATGTCAGGCCCTTGTTTATACATAAGCAAATTATCCAGAGGCTCATAAGTTCAGTAGTGAGTGACTGTTACCATGGTTTTACATTTCTCCTTTTGTAAGGTTTATTTCATCCAAACTGGCTTTATGCGATGCCTTTTTACTCAAATCTGAAACCTATCTATTTGAATTTGAGATTTTCTAAGATCAGGCACTATGGTTCTCTTGAGAGCACTTAGTTCTTAGTTAACATTCTTTTAAAATAGATGAAGTCAGTATTACAAGTGTTGAAGGAATACAGACAACTGTAGTTAAATTTCAGTTCAAAGATTTCTTAATTAGTCTTTTTTTTCTAATATCAACTAGTATTTTTCTGTGTAAGTACTTTGGTGCTTTCTGCATCAAAACTGTAAAGTATTTGGACATGTTACGGAAACAGCTGCCCTAAGAGTTTTCATTTTGATTTTAAATAATTGCTGCAGGGTTGTTAAAACATTTTGAATAGAAGTAAAACTATGTAATCTTCATCCTTAGATAATATGCAGGCTTAGTTTACTACAATATTTTTCTTTTTAAATTTAGCAATTCATGATGACCAATAAACTGGACACGGCCATGTGGCTTTCTCGATTGTTCACAGTTTACTGCTCTGCTTTGTTTGTTCTGCCTCTTCTTGGGTACGTATTACATAGATTTCTGCCTTTGATACTCAGTTCAGTCGGTTTTTATGGAATACCTCTTACGTGGAAGACTTGTTAAACTGCAAGAGTTTCTGGGACAAATAAAATCCAGGTCTCCTCTGTTAGGCACTGATAACCCAGTAGTAGTACCACCTGGAGGAATATTATATATATGGTGTGCTTTGGGAAAGTTGACATCACATTGAAAATCCAAAAGAAAATGGGGATGAGAGGAGTTTATATTTTTTGCCTATTTGACACTTTAATAGGAGGAATGACTGCTTTATAAAATTCAGTAGGGTATGTGCATGAAGTGATGCTTCCAAGAAGGTATAATAGGTTCAAGTAATTTTTTTCTCTTGGCAAGTAAGAGATTTAGGAGTTGTGCAATTATGATGCAATCCACAAAGGAGGAAGAGACATGGTAGTTGTTAAGTCTCATGATAACCTCTCCTCTGGTAATTCGCAGGTTGCACGAAGCTGCAAGCTTTTACCAGCGTGCTCTGCTGGCCAATGCTCTCACCAGTGCTCTGAGGCTGCACCAGAGGCTGCCGCATTTCCAGTTAAGCAGAGCATTCCTGTCCCAGGCTTTATTGGAAGACAGCTGCCACTACCTGTTGTACTCCCTCATCTTTGTCAATTCCTACCCTGTTACGAGTATCCTTTTCTGTGCCTTTTTGATAAGGAAATCGCGTATCAAGCTTGTAGATGATTCTGATTGTTTTTTTGCAGTCGGAAAGGTTCAGCACTAAGGGGGTTCCGTGAAGCCTGGGTGGGTGGCTTGGCTGGCACTTAATTTGAATGAAGATACATTTAGTGTAAGGATTTCTGACTCTAAAATGTGAAATCTCAATTCGAAGAGCTGGTGTGGGGATTTTAAAGTTTGTGTCTTTGTCTTGCCCCTGTTGGCAATGGCTGTTGTAAAGTTCAGATTAAAAGCACAGGACTATGGAGGACTTAGTTTAAAATTTTAAGTTTTTTTTCTCATTTAATTCAATCTTTGGGAAAGTGTCCATATATGTTACTTATAAAAAAGAAACCCTCAGCCCTTTCAACTCCTAGTGAGCTGGAAACAAATAGAAATTCATTAAGAAATAATTTATTTAAAACAGAATTGAATAATTAATAAATACAATGAAAAAATTCTAGTGTTTACAGTGGATAGAGGAAAAAATAAGGACACATAGATAATCTTTGGAGCTAATGAGAATTAAAGAGCTCATTTGGAATTGTATGTTTATACATTTCCAAAGTGTGTTGGGTCATAAGTGGTTTTCTAAAAAGGTGGGGGAGAGCTGGAGAGGAGGGCTTTAGTGTGTTTGAGAAGCACTGGATTAAAGGGTTTTAAGTAGGTTTCTTTGCTATAGGACCTTTGATATGCTAATGTTCATTGTGAGGCAAAAGAGTGACCAGTGTCTTTTAATCTTTTTAATAGTTTGTTCCCCCACCGTCATTCCCCCTGAAAGTATTTTGTGCTTTGAGAAGTCCAGCTCTTGAATGTTTATGATACATATGTATTGTAGTGTGTCATTATGACATATATGTGATCATATCATAAACATACATAACTATACCTAATGGAAAAATGTTTCTCTAGGACTAAATATTACCGGTTTAGATAATTTTGTGTTTATGAAGTGTCAAATTTTAAATAGATTTTTAAAGTCTTAAGGAAAAGAGAATAGGAAACAAATTATTTGAGCACTTGTTTTGTCAGTACATACAAATGCTTACAATACTGAAAAAAATCCATGTGAGCATTTTATTTGATACGGACATTGAGGCTCAGAGAGTTTAAGACAGCTTGCCTGACATAATACTGGCAAGTGTATAGTAATGCTGACAAGGTCTGTCTGACTTGAAAGGTCTACATAGTAATAGGAATAGCATAAACTAGTAACTGTCAAGAAATACTACTTTGATTCTTTAAATTTTTTTTAAGTTTGTTTATTTATTTTGAGAGCACGCATATGTGAGTGCCTGAGTTGGGGAAGGGTAGAGAGAGAGGAAGAGAGAGAATCCTAAGTAGGCTCCATGCTGTTCTCACAGAGTCCAGTAGAGGGCTCCAACTGTGAGATTGTGACTTAAGCTGAAATGGAGTCAGATACTTAACAGACTGAACCATCTGGGTGCCACAGTACTAATCTGAATCTTTTAAAAAAATGTTTTTTCAATGTTTATTTACTAGAGAGAGACCGAGTATGAGTGGGGGAAGGGCAGAGAGAGAGGGAGACACAGATGCTGAAACAGGCTCCAAACTCTGAGCTGTCAGCTTAGGGCCTGATAGGGGGCTTGAACTCATGAACCGTGAGATCATGACCTGAGCTGAAGTTGGAAGCTTAGCTGACTGAGCCACCCAGGTGCCCCAATACTAATCTGATTTCTTTTTTTTTTTTTTTTAATTAATGTTTACTTATTTCTGAGAGCAAGAGAGACCTAGCATGAGCAGGGGAGGGGCAGAGAGAGAGGGAGACACAGAATGTGAAGCAGACTCCAGGCTCTGAGCTAGCTGTCAGCACAGAGCCTGACACAGGGTTGGAACCCATGAACCGTGGGATCGTGACCGGAGCTGAAGTCAGCTGTTGAACCGACTGAGCCACCCAGGCACCCCAATACTAATTAATTCTTAAAAGTAGTTGGGTATTATGTTAGTCAGTAAAGATGATGAGCGCTATGTTAGTAAATAAATATGAGCAAAATCATATTTCAAAGTTGTGTTCTGATCTTTGCACTTACATGGGTGATGTTGTCCTTGATGTCTAGCCATGATAGGTACTGAGGGTTTAACTTGCAGGCTTTTCACTGTTTATATTTTCTGAATAGTTTAAGTTACATTGAAAGGTAAGGTTATGAATCTCTTACAAGAATTTGTGAATTACAGAATGTTAGAAGTAAAAAAACTCATTAGAAATCTGTAGCTTTGAAGTGCCTGGGTAGCTCAGTTGAGCATCTGACTCTTGATGCCGGCTCAAGTAGTGATCCTAGGATCGTGGGATGGAGCCCTGTGCTGGGCTCTGTGCTGGGCATGGAGCCTGCTTAAGAGTCTCTCCCTCTGCCTCTTGCCCTGCTCACATACACTGTTTCTCTCTTAAAATAAATACATAATAAAATAAAAAAGTCTGTAGCTTTGATGACACTTGACCTAGGAAATGAAGTTAGTGTCAGAGCCATGATTAGAACCCAGATATCTTGACTCTCTTCAGGGTTCTGTTTTCATTACCTGCATTGCTTCTACAGAATCAGGCTTCAAGTTAGGGTATGTATCAACGTTTAAATTTAACTATTTAAGAAGCAACAAAATTTTACAGTGGCCTTAGAGAGGAGAGAGTTGTAGCTTTTCATCAGTTCCAAAGGGATCTATGATTGCTTAAGAAGTATAAGACTATACATACATGGTCTCTACTGAGGAAATTGGCATTTTACTTAGTTCTTGTGTATGTCGGGGAAGAATTGGTGAGGATATTAATTTGGAGAACTACTAGATGAGAGACAATTTTTGTAATCCTTGGGTATAGATCAGTGTCTTCAGTGCCAGTTGGAAATCAGTCACCTTCTGGATCTAATGAGTTATGGTGTGACTTTGGTACTCGTATTACAGTACTCACCATTTCCCATCACACCAAGCTTTCTGTTAATGTAGAAGAAATGGTTCATTTCTTACAAACTGCAAATATTTTCTTAATAAGGGTAATGTAGAATTTTTTAGTAAACTACCCCTAATGTGGGACTCTAACTCATGACCCGGAGATCAAGTCACATGTTGTACTGACTGAGCCAGCCAGGCACCCCAGAAACTGCAGATACTTTTAGGACAAGTATTTTTGCCGTTAGTGATGGATGAACAGCCTCTATCATTTTATGAAAATACCAGACAGTGTTTTGGCTCTTGTTTTTCTTGCCCTGGAAAAAATTGGGGTAATAAATAGGGTCTTTTAAGCAATTTTTATTTTTTTCAAAAAGCTGAATGAAAATTGTGTATTTATCCATGACAGAAAGCCGAACAATTGAACTCAAATATGTCTGTAATTAAACTGATGAGACTTTGAATTAACTGTACACAAACCCAAATACACACTTTTTATTCGGACAGGTTGAGAACACAAGGCTGGACAGTCTTGATAGGTACAGTATCTTGAAATAAGAGGGATCTTGTAGGAGCGATAATGGGGTTTTGGTAGGAAAGAAATAATGAGAGATCTTTAGTTGAGGAAAGTTGGTAAGTCCTTTTTTAAAGTTTTAGTTCTTATTTTTATTTTTTTTTTTTTTACATGAACTACCCCCAGCACGGGATTTGAACTTAACCACCCCGAGATCGAGTCTCATGTGGTACCAACTGAGCCAGTCAGGCACCCTGGGGAAGTACTTTGTAAACCTTTCCCCAGACTTTGCTAAGCAGTTGTGATGAGGAAAGTAGTACCAAAGACTAGTTGAAGGCCAAATGATTCTGGCCAGGATGCCCTTTGTGAGGTTAAAAGCTATCCTGGGTAAGGCTTTGAGGTGGCCTAGATTTTGATTTAATTTAGCAAATGTTTACAATATTAACTAATAGAAAAGGAACACTTTTTTCACTTTAATTTTCTTCATAAAAAAACTGAGCTTTAGAAACAAATTGTTTACAGATTTTTAAAAAAGCTTCATTTGGTTGCAAAGTGTGTCAGTAAAACAGAAGCCATCACTGAAGTCATTTTAGCAGATGCCGTGTCAGATCTATATTGGGTGTAATACGTAGCTTGTTTTCCAAAGTAATTAATAGACATTAAATGTTTTCCTTAATTGATTTCTTCAGTGAGTATTTTTCCTGTGTTGTTATTCTCTTTGCTTCATGCCGCCACATATACGAAAAAGGTTCTTGATGTAAGTAAAGCTGTGGTGTTTTTTTGACTCCTGGAATGCAGATTGTTGGCATGAATTTGAGTTCTAAGACAGTTTGCCATTTGTCATAAAAGTTTGCTCCATTTTTTATAGACTTGTGAATTATTAGTGATTTGAAAGTTTTAAGTTTTATATTTTGTATTTAAGTTTCACAAGATACATTTTGTAGGTAAAAGAGTATATTGCAGATTACCCCCTAGTTCCCAGAGGAATTTCTAAAGTTTGAAATAGATCTTTTTGTTTAAAAAAAAATGTATCTTTTAGGTTTGATAATTGTATAAGTTGTCAGAGATCTCTTCTTCTGTCATTGTTCAATTTTAACATACCAGGTAAGTAGAATGTGTTGAATTTCTTTTATGATAATGATCAGAACTAAAATATTCCTAAAATATTTTCTTATTCCTGGATTGTAACAGTAAGCCTAAATTAAGTATGCGAGGCAGATTGACTGCATGTGCACTGACATTTGAATTAAAATATCCAAATATTTGTCTTGTCTTGGCCCTTTTTTTAAATCTTAAAAAAAATTTTTTAAATGTTTTTTGTTATTTTTGAGAGAGACAGACAGTGTGAGCAGTGGAGGGGCGCAGAGAGAGGGAAACAAAGAATCCGAAGCAAGCTCCAGGCTCTGAGCTGTCAGCACAGAGCCTGATGTAGGACTCGAACTCATGAATTGTGAGATCATGACCTGAGGTGAAGTTGGATGCTTAACTGACTGAGCCATTCAGGTCCCTCAGATGTTTTCTTTATTCCAATAGTTCTTTGTTCATAGTGGTAATTGGGCTCTGTAATTTCTATCTTTATTTAACTAAGGAGTCACAAATACCTTAGCTGTATTACTAGGTAGTCAGATTTTGTTATGGTTAGTAGAAATAACCACCCGATTTTTGTGTGTGCAATAATCTAGTCTTTTTTATGAAAATAAGGTATGAAAATGGCCTACTAAAGTTGTCTTTGAAATTTTTCAGATACACAAAATACAGCAATGAAGGAAAACACATTGACTTTTACCTTACTTTGTAAACTTTTATATTCCCATTTCCAAAATGATTTTCTTTTAGTTATTTTCCCTGTTGGCTATACTGTTTATTTAAAGAAAGAAAATAATTGAATAATCAAAAAAGCTTAGGGGAACTGTGGGTGGCTAGGCTGGTTGAGCATCACCTTTGACTCAGGTCATGCATGATCTCACAGTTTGTGAGTTCCAGCCCCGTGTCAGGCTCTGTGCTGACAGCTCAGAGCCTGGAGCCTGCTTCAGATTCTGTGTCTCCTCTCTTTCTCTGCCCACCGCCTCTCTCTCTCTCTCAAAAATAAATAAACATTAAAAAATGTTTTTTTAATTTAAAAGTGCCTCATTATTTCTAATGTTTGTCTTCTTTTGTTTTAGGCCAAGGGTTCAAATAGTTTACCTTTGCTGAGATCTGTCTTGGATAAACTAAGTGCTAATCAACAGAATATTCTGAAATTCATTGCTTGTAATGAAATATTCTTGATGCCTGCTACAGTTTTTATGCTTTTTAGGTAAGACTAAAAATATATTGGTTTTGGGAGGCAGATGACTAAATGATCATAATAAATATAACTCAAATTTTTCATTATTATTTTACACCAGAAATGCCATAATGCCTCATTTGTTTGTATCTTGCTTTTTTTGTAATGTATGTATTTTGATAGATACAGTTCTGGTTTGGTCCGCATAATGTCTGTAGTGTTTGGTCATATTAATATGCTGCATTTTACTACCCGTTTCCCCTACTAATGAGGATACATTTGTTTGCCAATTTTTGCTGTTCCAGATATTGATGCAGTAAACATCTTTTTAACTTATTTAATTTTTATTTAAGTAATCTCTACCCCCAATGTGGGGCTCAAACTGAGGATGCTGAGATCAAGAGTCACATGCTTCTACAACTGAGCCTGCCAGGCGCCCCTCTTTTTCACCGTTCTGCTTACTTTTGTGTCACTGTTTTCTCTAAACCAGAATTGATTGGCTGAGTCTGAGCTAAGTGCATTTTATATTTATTAGGCCATGCCAGATTGCTGTCTACGATGTCTGTATTACCTGTTTTCTATAATCTTAATAATTGGGAAAAACTTATTTTGTAAATGAGATACTTCATTTTAGTGTTTATTGCCTTTAACTAGTGAGATTTATGCATGTCTGACATTTTTTTAAGCAATCTATAAGCTAGACAGAGTTTTACAGGTTCCTTCATAAATACATCTGGTCCATTCCTTTAAGTAATGTTGTTCTCTGGGAGCTCCAGGGTCACCACATGTTGCTCAGGTTGTAGGGTCCCAAGCTAGAAAACAACCTAAGTAAAGCCTGGAATGGCACAGGAGGAAGACTTCTTACTGGGTGTTGGGCATTTGGACTCTAACTGAAATAATCATTAACTTAGCCTTTTGAGCATTGATTTTTCACATATAAAAAACTTAAATTTTAGGGGCACCTGGTTGGCTCAGTCAGTTAAGTTTCCAACTCTTGATTTCAGCTCAGGTCAGGATCTCGTGCTTGTGAGATCAAGCCTGCAATGTCAGCGCAGAGCATGCTTGGAATTCTCTTTCTCCTCTCTGTCTGCCGCTCTTCACGCTTGCTCATGTGCACACCCTTTCTTTCTCTCAAAATAAATAAGTAAACTTAAAAAATGTTTAACAACACTTAAATTTTAAAACAGAATGATTTTAATTTTTTAAGATTATTGTGAAAGAGATGAGAATTTACCAGAAACATTAAATACAGAAATTACTTTGTTTTTCTAAAAAATTAAAGTAGCTTAATAAGGTTTTTTTTTTTATTCAATCCCTAATAGGAAAAGCTAGTGATGCTTTAAGTCTGTCACTTGCATATAGCACAAACTATAAAATTAGAAATAATTTAAAGTCATTATTCCTTAGATGCCTTCTTCATGATAGAAGCACAATCTAAATATTAGATGCTTCATTGAGTTCTTTTTTTCACAACACTACTTCAAGATTTGTATTTAAAAAGGAACGTAAAGCCTGTGAGTTTACCTTGTATGTACACGAATATGAGTGTAAAGAAAGATAAAAGGATGATCTTTGTAGCTTTATTTATTCCCTGGTTAGAGAGAAATTCCCTGATTTGTTACATTGTAGTAATGCATAAAATGAACTGCTTGAAGCTGTAAAAAGAATGAGGTAAATTTATGTGTTACGACAGGAGATGATCTCCAAGATATAATCAGTTTAAAAGTTTGTTAAGAATTGTATAGGGTGTTCCCCTTTTTATATTTTGGGGCGTGTCTGTATTTAAAGGCACATATATGGTTTTTTCTGCTTCACTTTCTTCATCTTTACGATGGGGAAGATAATGCCACATCCCTCCTAGAATAGAGTGGATTCAGTGAGTTGTAAAGTGAGCACCGTATTAGTGTTAGTCCTTATACACATGTGTGCATGGAAATTTCTGGAAAGATATTTTAGAGACTGAGCTGTAACTCTGAGGTAGAAGCTAACTTGGATGATGGGAAATTTGTTTTTCATTGAATTTTATTTTCTGTATTTTCTATATATTTCACTATGAATATCTATTCTATATTTTCTGTATATTTCACTGTGAAGAATTAAAATTTTGTCACACAGGATTTATTGGGGAAAATGTATGTAACACATTTAGTTTAGTGATTAGTTTGTTATCACGTAAATTTATTTTATGAAAGTAATACCACAATTTAGAAGAAAAGGCAAAAATTAACTTTAAAAGCCACATTTAACATCTTTAATATATTTGAAAAATGTTTTAAAATACTCTTGTAATAATATGCATAGTTTTATACTCTGCAGTCTTCAAAATTGCTGTATTGTTCTCAGAATCAAGATTTTGGGTAGTTGCATTCTAACTCCATCAAATAAAGATGATATACTTAGCCCTGCTACTTAACTATCCACATTAAGTTGTTGGTTCATTTAATTTGTAGTTATTTGTAGTGAATATCTTAATCCAGATAGTTTTTCCTGGGCAAAAATTATTGATTTAGAATTTCGTAAATATGTATGTGGCTCTTGGGTATTATAACTGTGCTTTTTAACCAAGAAAAATAATTAGAGTAGGCTATGTAACTTTACTAGAGACCTGTATAATTTCATTGTTTTTTTTTTGTTTGTTTATATAAAATGAAACAGTTTTCATTTACTATGTATGAAGTTTCACAATTTGATGATCAAGTATTAGTGATAATTATAGAAGCATTTATACATTTTCTGATTTAGTAGCTTTTAAACTTTTGAAAAGTAGTACATGAATACATGTTTACAAAAATTTAAACAATAACATTTTACTTTTTATCAATCATTTACATTCTTTTTTTTTTTTTTTTTAATGTAAGCTCTGTGCCCAACTTGGGGCTTGAACTCACAGCCTCACAACCTTCAGATCAAGAGTCACATCCTCTACTGATTGAGCTAGCCAGGCACCACTCTTTTATTTCCTTTTTAAGAATAACTTTGATTGAGACATGATAGATAGTACCTTGACCATTTAATGAATGAAGACACACACACACACACACACACCCTCAATTAAGTTGCCTTAAGTTCTGAGAATATATATATGAATTGATAATGTGTATTTGTTATCCTTGTATTTGTTTATTTCAGTGGTCAAGGGAGTTTGCTCCAGCCTTTTATCTACTATAGATTTCTTACTCTTCGGTATTCGTCTCGAAGAAATCCATATTGTCGGTAAGCTGGTGATTAGTTCAAATGTTTTATTTGTTGAGAGTACTATGAAATCTAGTATGTATAACTTTTAAGAGTTATTTAGCTTTTATGTTTAGAAGCAAGTGCTATTTTTGTAGTTAAGATCCAGGCCTTAGTAGGGTTGGTAAGGAAGTTGATGTATTTCTTTTTAGAAACTGAGATCAGATTTACCTTGGCCTCCACTAAAATAGTATTCAAGTTTAAGAAATTTGATGATGTTTAAGACATGAGTCCCAATCTCCAGGAACTTTCCTAATTAAAGAAGCAAAAGCATGCATCAAATAATAAGGAAACAATAGTTCAGTATACCATGTTTACAAACCATTATGATGAATTGTTATGTTTACTTTATTCCATCAATAGTATAGTCTACAGGAAGGAGAAATTGAGCCAGAAGATAAAAGAGCCCATGAAAGTTTCACAAAGCAGAGATTTTAATATGTTCAAGAAGAATTAAAACCTTTGAATAGACAAAGTAGGTAAAAGCATTTTAGATAGGATGAGAGTAAGTGCAAGTTCAGAGACAAGAAGGAACAAGCCACGTTTAAGGGGCATTGAATAGAACTGCTTGACTGTAATGGAGATTCTGAATGGTGAGTGGTTGCAGCTAAGGTACGTTGGAGCCATATCACAAAACTTCTTGAATTTCAGGATAAGAAGTTTGGCATTTATCTTTTAGATGTATGGGAGTGATGGTTTGGACATGATCATATTCTTCTCATATCTTTGTGCAAAATAGTTTGGAGTAGAAAAATTGAGGAAGCGAGAAATATTTTAATGAATCACTATAATGTTCAGGAATGGAGGCTTAAATGCTACTGTAAGTTAGGCATGCCGATCTCAGAAATTAGAGTAAAACTGAAATGAATAGCTGTTTTCAATAGTTTCTTAGACATGTTACTGAGATATTAACGTTAACATAGCTTTTTTTCCAAATTTAAAGTAAACTTATTGTGTGGGGGGACTGGGGGTTTAGTCGGTTAAACCTCCCATTTTGGCTCAGGTCATGACCTTGTGATTTGTGGGTTCAAGCCCTGCATCAGGCTCTGTGCTTGACACTCAGAGCCTGAAGCCTGCTTCTGATCTTGTGTCTCCTCTCTCTGCCTCTCCCTGACTTGCACTCCTCTGTCTCTCTCTCGAGAATAAATTAACATTAAAAAAATTTTGTTAATAAAATAAATTCATTGTGTACTAGAATTCATCAGAAATCCAATGACTGTAATAGCATGATCCCTATTGTATTTTCACAAGCAAAGTAAAAAGAACTGAAATTGAATGCTGGTCTCCATCATTTGCCAAGTGTGTAACTTAGGCAAGTTATTTAAATTTTAACTTCTTCAATGGTAAAGAAGAACACCTCCTGGGAATGAAATAAGGTAATATTTTAAGAGCTTAGATTCTGTTATTTTTTTTTTTTAATTTTTAAATTTTATTTAAATCCAAGCTAGGTAACATATAGTGTAGTAGTGGTTTCAGGAAGATTGTTATGTTCTTAATTCATAGTTTATTTTCCTTTTTCTGTGATTCTGACTGTCCTTTGAGGGGCTTTTATGCTCTGCTAGACAATGTCTTTCTTACAGTACTTCCTAAAATAGAGCTTATTTCAGACACAGATTTTTTTTTTTAAGTTTATTTCTTTATTTTGAGAGAGAGAGGGGACCTGAGTTGCAGAGGGGTGGAGAAAGAGAGCGAGAGAGACAATCCCAAGCAGGCTCAGCGCTCAGTGTAGAGCGCAGTGTGGAGATTGATCTCACAACTGTGAGATCACAACCTGAACTGATATCAAGAGTCTGATGCTTAACCAAATGAGCCACCCAGGTGCCCACAGACATAGATTCTTAATGAGTCCCTAGTCACCAGTAAACCCTCAGTTTTACTTGATTCCATGAGTTTTTGCCTTTTTTCTTTCTGGTTCATGTATTCATTTCAGATATTATCTTCGGGTTCCCTGCCCTAATACCCATTTTTCATCAGCAGATTTGTTTTTTTTCTGCTTCTTTATACCCTCTTCATCTCCCATTTCCTCCGTATACCCTTAAGTCGGATTAGCACACAGCGAGATTTAGCGTGTCCAGTGGGATAAAAAAGGAACGGATAGCAGTGGATCTAGGTAACGCAAATACGTGTTAATAAACATTTCCAAAGATCTCCCATAAGCACACAAAACAAATCAAAATAATTGAAAAGGTAATGGGAAATATTATGTAAACATTGATATATTGATTATATAAACATTGATAAACATCCATAAAACTACGTTTTCTATGCTACGCTTTTTTTGTTAGGGGTTTTGAGACTGTCTGTATTTGCCAGTTGTACCGTATTCACTTATGATATTCATTCTCAAGTTAGTGGTATTAGTCCTTTGTAGATTGGCCAGAGCTATGCTGTCTAATATGGCAGCCACCAGCCACATTTGACCATTTAAATACAAATTCTTTAAAATTCATAAAATTTAAAACTCTGTTCCTGAGTCATATTAATCAATTTGATGTGCTCAAAAGCCATGTGTGGCTGATGGTCACTGTATTGGACAGCACAGATGGACATTTCATCATCGCTGACACTTATGTTGTCAGTGCTGCTCCAAAGGAACTCTGTGAGTTGATCTAGATTTTGCCAGAGATAGAGCAAGGAATGAAGGAGCTAGCCATATGACTAGGCAAGCCATTCGCCTCTTTAAGCCTCATCTGTAACCTGAGGGGTTGGACTAGAGTATTTTCAAGGGGCCTTCTAGTTTTATTTATTTGAGTCCTTTGAAAGAGTGATTGTGTGTTGGTGATAACAACTTTATGCAGGATTGAAGTACCTGCTTTGTAGAGACTTGGAGCTGAGTGAATTACACAGCTGTGTAGGTCAGTGTGATGACGAAGGCTCTGTGAAAGCACAAAACTGAGAGGGGCAGACAAGAATTCACTGAAGAGGTGGTAATATAAGTCAGGTCTTTTGAAGTTTGCGTTCTGGCACATGGGTGCCTGAAAGTGCATGTTACTTGAGTTAAGGAAGTATATAGGGAAGTCATGAAGATCTGTGCCTGGAAGGGTAAGACAGGGACTTGAGCGTGAAAGCGTTTGGATTTATTTCAAGATAGGAGGAGCATTTGAAGTGCATATTGTGGAGAGGTTGGGAACATGATAAAATCTGATTTAGAAATATGCCAGAAGATGTATTACAGGCTCCCCATGAAGAGAAAAGTCTGATTTGGAGACTATGAGAGTAGTCCAGAGCCTGAACTAATTCCATGGTAAAATGAAAAGGGGAAAATTTGAAAGATATTTAGGAGGTAAGAAGTTAGGGGTTAGGGAAGAAGACCAAGATAAGGAAGCCCTCAGGTTTCTGGCCTGGGAACCTAGGAGAGTTGTGTGTAATCGGTCTGTCCCATAGAAAGATACAGGAAGGGCAGGTGTTTGAATAAATGTGTGTCTTTTCCAGGTTTCTTCCTGCTTTTGTGTAAAAGCATATTACATCCTTTTTTAAGACTATAGATTTCTACTTTTCTTAACCAGCAAGATAACTGAAGATACAGAAAGGTTGAACAGAATTGTCTTTATGCAGTATGAGTCAGCACATAAGTGAAAATTAGAAAGTGAATAGTCAAAATTACTTCTGATGATTCAGAATCTCTTAAAAATTATAGTTCAGCCAACATACATGATTTTGTGTGTTAGCCTATACAATATATGTGTGATGTGTATAGCGTATCATAAGGGGTTGTTTGGAGGCAGCAAGAACAGTTAAAGCCTACAAACTGTTTGGAAATCAGTGTACAACATAACTGGAATATAGGAGTCATGCCAGAGAGTGGGAAGAGACGAAGCAGAAAATTCAGTTAAGACCTGGGTGGCTTAGTCAGTTGAGCATCCAACTTCAGCTCAGGCCATGATCTCACAGTTTGTGGGTTTGAGCCCCACACCAGGCTCTGTGCTGACGGCCCAGAGCCTGGAGCCTGCTTCGGATTCTATGTCTCCGTCTCTCTCTGCCCCACCCCGCTTGCACGAACTCTCTCTCTTTCAAAAATAAACAAACATTAAAAAAAAAAAAAAAAAGACCAGGAGGAGGGCGTAAGGTGTTAAGGAGTCAGACTTCAGTCTGAAGGTAAATAAGCTGATTTGATGAGTGGAGTGATTGAACTGGGAAATGACCTTCATTATGCATCTTCTGTGTTGTCTCATTTAAGTTACACTCTGACTGACTTCAGTAAGTACATTCCTATTTTATAGATTGGAGGGCTCTGAGAGACATTACATTTAAGGCAGTAGTTTAAGGAAAGTGGTAGGTGGGATTGCCCATGCCGTATCATTTTTACTTCTTTGTTCTCTTTTGTACAACAAATAGAGTTTACCTAAGTTAAATGTGAAGATGATATGATTCTACTATAAAGATGATATGAATCACCCCTAATCTCAGCCTTCAGAGATAACCATTTATTTTTTTTATTTTTTTTATTTTTTACAAATAGTTTATTGTCAAATTAGTTTCCACATAACACTCAGTGCTCATCCCCAAAGTGCCCTCCTCCATGCCCATCCCCCCTCCCCCCCACATCCATCAGTCCTCAGTTTTTGTCAGCATTCAAGAGTCTCTCATGGTTTGCCTCTCTCCCTTTCCCCCACCATTTCCTCCGTCAAGTTCCTCCTAATCCTCCTATACGTGCAAACATGATATTTGTCCTTCTCTGCCTGACTTATTTCGCTCAGCATAACACCCTCAAGGTCCATCCATGTTGCTACACATGGCCAGATTTCATTCTTTCTCATTGCCATGGAATATTCCATGGTATAGATAAACCACATCTTCTTGATCCATTCATCTGTTGATGGACACTTAGGCTCTTTCCATGTTTTAGCTATTGTGGAGAGTGCTGCTATGAACATTGGGGTACATGTGCTCCTATGCCTCAGCATTTCTGTATCCCTTGGGTAAATTCCTAGCAGTGCTATTGCTGGGTCATAGGGGAGTTCTATTGTTAGTTTCCTGAGGAACCTCCACACTGTTTTCCAGAGGGGCTGTACCAGTTTACATTCCCACCAACAGTGGAGGAGGGTGCCCGTTTCTCCACATCCTCGCCAGCATCTCAAGTTCTCTGATTTGCTCATTTTAGCCACTCTGACTGGTGTGAGGTGCAGAGATAACCATTTATTAGATGCTTTTGTTAAATGAATTCTGTCAGCAGCCCCCCCAATACACACAAACAAAAGACACAGATGTTGATTTTGACAATTTTATTTTGTGTATTTCCTACACATTCTAGTTCTTTTACCTCAAATTCTTTAACGGCTGTGGGAAATTCCTTCATCAGCATTTGCTGTGCATTCTTTTTCCTTTTGTTTCTGAAAGAAAACTATTTTATCTTGCAGGACCTTGTTTAATGAGCTGAGGATTGTTGTTGAGCATGTAATAATGAAACCTGCTTGCCCACTGTTTGTGAGAAGACTTTGTCTCCAGAGTATTGCTTTTATAAGCAGACTGGCACCAACAGTTGCGTAGTTTAACGTCCAGCTAAGTTATATATAATATTCATAAGCATTATTAGCAGTTGGTACTTACGCTAGGGGGTTGTTAATTCCAGGTAAAACTGACCTCAATCCAATTTACATAATTTACATAAATGCATCTCAATGGAAAAGTAATCATTTTTCTGGCATGTTAAATCAAGCCTTTTAAAACGTTCCCGAGAAAATATTACTGTGCTGTGTTGTTAATGATTAAGGAAGTTTTTATCATGTGATAAATGTCTCAAAAATTTTTTTAAATGCTGCTGTGCCTTTATCATGAAGTACATTTATTTTTCTTGTAAAAGTAGGTTTAAAATTTCTTTCAACCTCATGGGTACCCTGAATTTATATCTGGCATGATTTCATCATGGTAATATTAACCGTTCATATTATTAGTATTCATTAATAATAATGAATTCATTATATTTTGAGACAGTATTCTTTGTCATTCAGTAATTTTAGTTGATGATTTTAAAAGAAGCGTTTACCACTGTATTTAATTTCAAATTGTTATTCATTGATTTTCTGCTGCTTTGTTAGGATTTATTTGGATGTACCATTATAAGAGGAATCCTGCATGCATCTTACACTGTGACCTTCCAGAATTTTATTTCCATAATTACTTAATGTGGCTTTGAATATTTTTTTTAAAAGGCTGAACTGTTAAGCTTATTAGCCAATTGGGTAAATATCTGGAGTCACGACTCTTTTACATTGGAAAGCAGCAGTAGTTCCACAGCTTTCCTTGCAGAGACCCATTAAGTAACCTTTCTCAAATAGGAAACCCTGATACAAATGTGGACACATAGATTATTAGTATCAGTATAGTTTATAGAATTACCTAGATGAGACTCTTGACTGCCAATTCTCTTGGTTTCTTAGGCTTGAACTTTCCTAGACAGTTGCAGCAGTTCAGATGTCTCTTGAAAGGAATGTCACTGGAGATTGAGCATATGCCTGTATTCCGTGTCTATTCTGAAATCATAATGAAGATTATCCTGTAGATTACATGCTTACCCATCAAATCTGATTTAAAAGGTTAAATGGAGGGGTTTATAGGTAAGATCATTGATTGGGGAGGGGGCCGGAGAGGACTTGTGGGGGAATAGTGTGCATTTTAATTTCATAATGCATAGGTAAAATTGGGAGTATAATATGTTAAATTCTGTTTGTTGAGATGCCATCAACTTCTTTATAAAATTCATTCTGATCTTTATTACTGTTGCATGATGGAGAATGTTTAAAACACTGCAGAAATTTTAGTACATAGTAACGTAGTGGTTTTTGTAACCAGTTTTCTTCTGTCTGCATGTAATTGGAATTCTCAGATACATTCGTTAGTAACTTGTCAGTAACAGTTTTCTGTTTATTCAACTTTCCCATCTCTGGAAACGTGAGATCTACTTGATAGCTCAACTGTAACCACCCGTTTTTGTATTTTTGTAGTATTTATCTACTAAGTTAGAAAAGCAGCCTTATGATCTATAGTTGATTGGGTGGGTGGGTGGGTGGGTGTGTGGCTAGCCTCATTATCATTATATATGTAATCTGATGGTTTTAAGAACTAATTTTCTAGAGCAATAAAGTGACTATAATGTTAAGTAAACAGTATATTGATTTCTAATGATGTCTTTAAAAATTAAGTCTTGAATTATATCAAGAAATTTTGGCAGCTGAAGGTATATTTATTCTTAAGTTACTAGTTTTTTTCTAAAAATTTTTTTTAATCTGGAGATAATTTTAGATTTATAGAAGAGTTACAAAAATAGTGCAGAGAGTTCTTGTCTACCTTTTACTCAGCTTCCCTTTATACTAAAATTCTACATAACTATACAATATTTATCAAAACTAAGAAATTAGCCTTGGGACAATACTATTAAAAATAGAAGTTATCAGATTTCACCATTTTTTCCATTTATTAATTTTCTTCTTGTGAGCTGTTTTTACTGAGATTGATTGTCTTTCACTTTCAATGACCAAAAAGTATGCCTTGGAGTTTTTCCTCTTTAATTAGGAAATTACTGTGAAAAAGATTTCCCTATAAGAAATGACTTCAGATTGGTTTTAACAAAAAGAATTTTAACAGTAAAACACAATTTAGAACATTCTGCACTTTAAAAGTTGAGCCTTTGTATCACATAATAGGATTATATTTCTGATATGCTTATATGTGACTGGTCTTTAAAGGAAAGCTTGATTTTTAAATAAAATACTCAACTCATGAAAACGAAAATTTTACCATCTGAGCATTACTAGATGTTTAGTTTGCATGAGCTTGTAGCTAGGGATTCTGCAGTATAAATATGTAGAACCAGCTGATTTGGCATCTGAAACTACAGCGTAATCTGTACACCTATCAAATTAAAATTAAGGAAATACAGTAGCAGTATATGGAATGAATGAAGTAGGAGAAACCATAGCATAGGTGAAAAAGTTGTGTTAACATCCAGAATATCTAATTCTTTAGGAAGTGTTGTAGTGTTCTTTTCCTTCTAGCACTTTTTGAATGAAACCCTCTTGGACAGGTAGAAGCCTAACACAAAACCTGCTTTTGTTATAACAGGAATTTTGTATTCCTTTTGTGTGTTTGATTCCTCATGAATTTAAACACTATTTAGTATCAGTCCATAGAAAACTTTCTTAAATCAAAATTTATATTTAAATTTTCTTTTGCAATAAAATTCACCCAAGTAGATACTCCTGCAAGTAAGTAATTAAATTTAGATATTTAGAAACTTACCTTACAGAGCAAATCAAAGCATGCTGATATTATACCAGAAGTTATGAGAGACTTAGGAGGTCTGTTTTATAACTGAATGGTAAAGCTATCTCTTTTCTAAAAAATCACAATGAAAATTCTGAGTAGGTTTGTATATTTAGGGTATGAATATTAATCAATTTGGAAAGGAAAATGAGTGTATATGTAATAAGTGGAACCGGGAGACTATTTTTTTTTTTTTTAAGTTTGAGATCAGAGTGAATGAAATTAGTTTTGAGGGATTGTGCTAAAGATTCTCATTTAACCCTAAGGAATTTATTTTGATTAATATAGTGATTCTGAAACTCTTGCCCCACTCATGCCCACCCAGATCCTCCTAGGATCTGCTAGCCTCAAAGCTACCACCCAAATTTAGACCACTTTTGATTCTTAATCTGTAATGAAACCTCAAAGGAGAAAAGTAACCACCAGTAGTTAGTTATGTGTATGATCAGTAGGTGGCACTCTTTCCTCAAGTAGGCACCCCCTCCCCCCAATTGTTTCACAGGCCCTGCTGGCAGGTTAAATGCCACCCAAAGTGCTGAGTCAGCCATTAAACTAAGGACCTGAACTCCATGACCCTTTTTAATATGTAAGTACTCAGAACTCAACACATATTTTCCATATATGAGTACATTTAAAAAATATTGAGATGTTGAAAAGATGGAAGCAGTACCCTGTTAATGCTTACTTTCTGGCTAAATGGTAATATAGGCCACAATTGGGAACAACATTCTCCTGATCATGGGTTCTGTCCTGTTCTGTTTTGTTTTCTTTACACATAGTGCCTAAATCACCTAAATACATCAATTATAAAATTGTTCTTTTTGTTCTTTCAGCTTCATTTTCAGGTGTATAGAAAAATGGTACTTAAAATTTTTTTGTGGTCATTTTGTAGGTGTACAAGGGATAGCCAGTTCAGCTATTTAAGATTAGAGGTTTCATAGTAATAAAAAAGCATATTGAAAATTTTGGTTATTGTATCAACAGTGGTACCTAGATTTTTAAATTGTTTGAGTTGCAGAGACAACTAGTTTCTCTTTAAACCTCATTGGAATTTCTCTAGGACTAGAATTCTGCAGAGGCTAAATGACACTGTAGTTAGTAGATCGTTTACCAAAGGCATGTGTTTATAGATCCAGGAATCATTTCTAGGATTTGTTTTTTTTGTTGTTGTTTTTTAACGAGCAGTCCTCTTCTAAGATTCAGAGAGGAAAGTTGTTACTGGATCTGATATTAAAGACAGGAAAGAAGCTGCTAAAAATTTGGAAGGATTCTTGGTAGCAGTTATTCTAGGACATGTGTATCTTCTAAGGTGGTCTTCAGGTGGGTTCTTAGAGTGAACCCCCGTTTTTCCCATGTGAGGGATTTGGTCTGGGGAACGCTTCTCTTGTGCAGTGCAAATAGGAAAACAGACTGCACGGAGTTTGAGTTGATTTGACAGGAGATAAAGTACAGTATTTTTTAAGTCTAAAGCAGATTGTTTCTTAGAAAAGTGATAAAAAAAATTGAAAGATACTTTTGCTGGAATCTAAAAATTAAGTCATGTTAGAGAAGAAGAAAAGGCTCAAGAGTCGGTGCACATTTCCCTTCATAGCCTTCTTAAAGCTCACTTTTTGATAGGCTCAGTCCTTTTAAACTAACTTTCTGTTTTTCTTGGTTTATGACAGTTGAATTCCAAATTTTGTTTTGTACCTTTAAAATAGAACAAACGCTTTTGACATGAATTTTTGCTTACATATATATTTGTAAGTTGAGACCAAATGGGCAAAGTGTTGGGAAGGTAACCCTTGTGATGTGTTTATATTGCAACAAATATAAAAAGGGTCACAAAGATTAGAAAGAGTCGTAAAGAGCTGCTTGATTTATAAATGCATTAGTTCTGGTGCTCCATATAATGGGATATATTAAACTAAAAAATTTGTATATATAGTATGTCAGCATTTCTTAGTAACTTCTCTTGAATCCATTTTTAATATCTGATATTGTACAGGTTGGGGAGTTCTACTCTTCAGGCCAATACTATCCAGACTGTATAAATTTATAAAATAAATTGAAAAATTCATCATTCTCCTATATTCGAGACCAGCGCACATAAATGCTAATGTAGGGCTCAGAGGGGAAATATATTTCTCCTGAATATTTGAGAAAATGTGAAGTCCTTTCAAGAAAATCTAATAAACATAATAATCATAGCCTGCTGACACTAAGGAAAAAGGACCTCATTCGCTCTTTCTTTTATGCAGCGATTTACTGGTCCCCACTGATTTCCAAATTGGATCACTGTAGTAAATTATCTATGCGGGTACCTGTGAAAGTAAGCCCTGGGATCCATATTTGTTTTGTGTTCTGCTTAAATCAGCAAGAATGATAAATTTGATGGTGTGAAATTGAAAGTGTCAAGGGCTTTCTTTGGTGATTGAGCAAAATGATGTCTCCACTTTAATTTATTGTGACCCCTTTTCACTCTATGTGCTTTGTATATCTAATATTTATTTCAATACAAATTAAATTCTTGTTCCTTCATCTGTATTGTTATATATCTAAGATTTTATTGATGTAAAAATCAAATTGTGTAATAAAAATCTCTCTGGATTTAAGCAGATTTGAAAATGTTATGTTGCAAGAAAACATTTATAGTTAGAATTCCGCTCTCCATTGTGCTTCGTTGCCTTATTGTTAAAACAAGGTGAACTTGAGCACTTCTTTTTGAATTCAGGCACTTTCCTCGGCCCCATCACAACTAATAGAAATGCTGTAATTTTGTGGTTTAAGGTAAAACTGGAAAAGAAAAGAAAAGAAAAATTATAGTGGCTCTCTAATCTGTTTGCTTGCTTCTGTACTTTTTTGTGTAGTGAAATCTATAGCCTAGTAGATAGATTACTTATATAACCCTAAAACTATGTACAGTATGCAACATAGCCAAAGTTCTAAATCAATACATGATAACATAGAAGAATGTAGTTTCCTTCTAGGTGTGTAGAATTGGCAAGTATTTCTTGTGGCAATTTAAACTACTTGTACTAAGTGAAGTACTGTACAAGTCAGTAGTTTTTAGTATTTTTTCAGTTGAATTCTTCAAATTTGGTTCTCTACAATCATGACCAAAAATTCCAAGAGTAATAGGCCATTTCATTTAAATAACAAACCAAAACCCTCAAGACACAGAATTGAAACTTGGCAGTGATCTAGAATAAAACAGATGTATATTTCTCATCACTGACTCCTAAAAGACACAGTTGTATATGCTGGTTTCTCTGATCTAAAAAATTAGTCCTTGATGCTGTGAACTATCAGGTTCATGTTTTACAGTTCAGTTTAGAAATATCCAAAGCATATAGTTCATTTTCTGAAGTATTTAGAAATTACCCTTTCTTACTCCCTTATCTAAAAAGCTAAATTTCCTTTTGGGGCTTATAGAACTGTTGGGCTTATTTTGAATTAATATTTTGTATGTGAATTCCATATTTCTCTTTCCCAAGGACAGTCATCAGTTTTTAAAAAAAGCAAAAGAACATTTCTTAATATTGGAACAGGGGTGTCTGACTGGCTCATTTGGTGGAGAGTGTGACTCTCCATCTTGGGGTTGCAAGTTCAAGCTCCACGTTGGGTGTAGAGGTTATTTTAAAAAAAAGTCTTTAAAAAAGAAACAGCTTTTACAAAAATAGTTTAATTTTATATGGATATATTGCTGGGAATAAAATCTTTTTTTGGAAGGGAGTAATTAAACATTTACTCTAATAATTAGAACCTACCAGAGGGTTTTGTTTGTTTTTGCCCATTAATATTGTAAAGTCAGAAGATCTGTAAGCTTTATTATTACTTGGGTTTTATGTTCATTGTAGTTGCTCTAAAATGGTTTTGTGGCTGTACTTACTTAACTATAGCTGTTTATATAGCACTAATATGCTTTCAATAACATCAGTATTTTTTTAACCCTTTGACATTAAAATGCTCAAGTAACATTGAAGCAGATTAATAAAATTATTTTTACTCTGTCATCTATATACTGGGAGTTACCAGATTCTCAAATTTTGAAACATTAGAATCTTACTTTGATTACAAGCAACTGCCCCCTAGTGGCAAATTTTCTGCAAAACTCTAATGGCTCTCATTTTGCATATAATAAAAACACGGGGGAGGCATAACTTGACTCCTGATTTTATTTCCAGTTGGTTTTTACATTAAACACTAATTAAGATTATAAAGGGCTTCTTACAAATGAATTCAACCTTTCAACGCTGTAAAGAGTTTGTAGACTGTTAATCATTGGTTAATAATTACTATAATTACTATTTCAAGATGTCTAAGTGAGCTAATGAATTTTTTCACTATATTTATGAGACAATAGAGACACTACTGTTTAAGTAGTGAGAAACTAAAATTCCTGACTGGTAATTTGTGAAGGAAATCATTAGAATACAACCTTATTCAGACCATGCTCTCTGAATGTGCATTTTTATAGTCTTTATAGTGTAAGAAAGCGCAGCCCATGGCTGTACCATTGTAACGGTTATTCATATAGTTCTTTCTGTTTTAAAATTTGTAGAATAAATCATTCAATACTTAGGAGGTACCTCCATGCATTTGCTATTTGCCCTACCTCAGAAGGTCATTATAGACACTTGTCACAGGTCTTCAGAGTTTTGAGCAGGCATAACAGGAGATATACTTCTAGTGAATGAACATTTTTTTGGGTTATCAGTAATGATTCTCTTACAAATGGATCTCCTGCCATGCCAAAAGAAAAAAGAAAGCATTACATAACCATTTATACCAGATACTCAAGTTTTTTTCCTTGAAATAATGTTATCACTGCCAGACATCAGTAGAACTTAGCACTGGTTATGTATTTTAGTGTCATTTTGTATAATCTTATTGATAAGATTAGCCCATCCCCTGTATTGTTACATTTTGTTGTCATCACCATTACTGGAATATACAAAAAGCCCTTTGAAAATACAAAGCCAGTTTGGGTTGTAATTAACTACTTAGTAAATCTGGTTGTAAATTATGGGGCAAAGTCACATAGAATCTTTTGAAGATTTTTTTTTCCCTGAATGTTGAACAAGGCTCTTAAAAAGAAACAAATGTCCAGGATCCCAGGTTTTCAACAAAGTATTTACTATTCCCCAAAGAAAATACACTGCAAGGATAATGCCACGCATGCCAACATATATAGGAGTTCTGACGAGTTGATGAAGTCGGTGAAGGACTGCTGGGAGAAATGGGAAGACTACACTGAGCAGGAAGGCACCTGGTTCCCCTCAAGGCATTCAAGCTGAAACATTTTAACACTCCCAGTCTTACACTGTGGACCCAGTTCAGCAATAGGCAACCAGCTTGTGGTCTTCTTGGCCAGTACACTCTTTAATAGTGAAAGGCTCTGTCCCAGACCTTCTTAGACTTCCTGCCCTGTGAAATAGGGCCGGATCACATTAACCCCAAGAACTCTTTTTTTTTTTTTTTTTTTTTTTTGCTGAGATCCTTCTCCATCTCTTTCTCCTTTGTTTCATCCTTGTTACAGACCTTGTCCATGATCCACATCCCTTTTGGTAGAGAAAATACTAAACTTTGAGCCATGTGAGACTCATACTCTCTTGCCAACAGTTTTCAGTTTTGACCAGAGTTAGGAAGGGAAAGGAGAATGGGCACCTCTCGAGCAGGGAGAAAAAGAACCTCAGGCCCCTTGTGGCCTAAGGCTTCGTTCCTTCCCCACTAGTCTAAGGTACAAAAAGACAAACCAGGAGGAAGAACTGCTCCCCGAGGCCTAGAGCTCAGCTTAAGTGAAAATCCCCCAGCACCTTTGGAAGCCATATGGATGAACCATCATTCCTCAGATGCTCCTGTTTTTTCCTGTATTCTGAACTTAGTCTTGTCTTAATTTCCATTTTTCTCTAAGTACCTCGAGACCCTTCATGAACCTTTCTTTTGGCAGTGGCCTCATTGTTCTGTTGCATTTACCCTGCAAAACCTCACCCTCCAAAAGTAATACCTCCCCCACTTCTCTCTCATAGCGTTCTCTATTTTGCCTTTACACAGTGTTTCATCTTGTAAACTCTTACTCCCTTCTCTCAAACTAAAAAAAGTAAGTAAAAAGATAGGAACCTAATGGGATGCAGGGGACAGGAAAAGATTGAGGAGAAGGGATGGTTAGAGTGAAGAAGAGGTGGAGAGGCGAGGACCCTTAGAAACGGGATGACTGTCTATCCAGTTTCTTTCTGGTTGATGGATTCAACCAATATACCAGCTCAGTGTTAAAGCATGATCAAGGAGGTGCAAATGTATACATCAGGAATAATGTCAGAAAGTCCACAAGTGTTTATAATCTTTAGATATTCTCTTCGTTTCCCTGGGCCTCTGTTTCCTCATTTGTAGAATGTGACCAACAGAATCGTTTCGAGGATTGAAGTGAGCATATTTGTACACTGTAACAGTTTGTACACATAGCTACATTGTATATGCTTCTCATTTTACTTTTTACTTTTAAGAGACTCTGGGACTCTTAGAATTTAAAAAACTTCCTTCAAGATCCTTCTTGGTGAGTCCGTGTTTAGTTAAAACTTGCCTTATTCTGTTTTAAGTCAACACCTTTCTGGGCAAAAAAGAAGGTGGACCTGTTAGGAGAATCCCCCCACCCCCATCCCATTAAAATACAAAGTCTTATATTGACATTTAGATTATTATTATTATTATTTTTAGTCTTACAATTCCAGGGATATAAAGGCTCTATGCATGGTACAGAAAGTAAAAATGCTGTGACTAGGCAAATTAGATCAGCTTCTGGAATTGTGAGAGCTCTCTCCACAAGTACATCTCCAAAATCAGTAAATGATTAAAAGTTCTCTCTAAAACATGCTCTTTGTAAACTATACCAAATGAATGCACAAGAAGGATGCAAAAATAGCCTAAGAAATGTTCAAAACTAAATTTATCTGTAATATGTAGAGAATGAGGCCCAGAATTACAATTCTTTAAGGAATCTGCCAGAAATTGGGAATGACTTCATTCTTTTATCCCAAGGGAGACACCTAGAAGTCGTGGAGATGAGACCATTATCGTTGGAAGGCAGTAGAGCATGGCCAAGCTCTAGGCCTCTGAAAGCCTGACAGACCTGGTTTCAGTCAATTCTTAGCCCTGTGATTGGTTTCTCTTATAAAATGGGGTTCCTGGGGTCACTGGGTGGCTCAGTTGGTTGAGTGTCTGACTTTGGCTCAGGTCATGATCTCCCAGTCCATGAGCTCGAGCCTCGTGTTGGGCTCTGTGCTGACAGCTCAGGCTCTGGAGCCTTCTTGGAATTGTGTCACCCTCTCTGCCCCTCCCCCGCCTATGCGCACGCGCACGCTCTCTCTTTCTCTCTCTCTTTCTCTTTCTCTCTCCCTTCCCCTCTCTCTCTCTCTTAAAAATAAACATTAAAAGATGTATTTTTTAATGGGGTTACTAAGACCCCATACATTGTGAGATGGTAGAGTGAGCTCCAGCATAGTGTTTAGCACAGTGCTTCACATGTGAGGGCTTAAAACATTTTTGCCATCATTGTCATCATCATCTAGAATTCAGAATAGTTCTGTGGAGTACTTCATTGAATAACTTGAGTAGGTAACAAGATTTCCCACTTAACTATATCCCAGACAGAAAATAACTATAATAATTTTCCAAGTAGTGTTTAGTAATCATTGGTGTTTGTATTAATGACCACCTCCCATTTTCTCACCTACCCAGGTTCTATAAAATTTTCAGTTGTCAAGAGGTTACATGAATTGTGACAAAATGGTACGAGCACATAATCTGGCCAGAACTCAGA